ACACCCCCAGCTACAGTTTTAACCTGAACATTGATTAAACAAAAAGTGAAATGAAAAATATTTTATTCAAATTCTCCCTCATACATAAATAAAATTTCATCAAATTTCTATGTTGAAAGAATATATATTTACTATTGGACTAAATATTAGGTCCTGCCTTGTTCCAAATTGGGTTTTGAGTTGTTGATAAAATACATAATGATAAACAAGCTAAATAGAAAGTGTTACCCTAAGAGAAACATAAAAGATATAATAACAAGTACTCAACTACATAGCCTGGTCTTGGGTTATACTAATATGCAGATGTATGGTGTATGAACAACTATGAAGGTAGTATGTTACACTGGCAATCAATAGCAGTGATTGCTGTTATATTTCATGAATATAAAAGCTAATTCTAGTAAATTTATAAACTTGTTTATAAACTATAACTTATTTAACTTTATATTATATAACTAAGGAAGAATTATGAACCTGTGAAAATGATCTTTGTTTTTTGTTTTGGCAATTCCGGGGATTGAAAATAGAGACTCCTACATGCTAGGCAGGCACTCTACCATTGAATCATGTCCCACATCCTCAACCCAAATCATTTTGAATGTATCAATTTACTAATCCATTTCAAAATTTCTTTTCCATGATATCTACTAGAGTTACTAGTAATAGAAACTTCCCAATTGTCAGAAGTTTTCATTGTTACTTTTAAATACATATATTATATATATATATAATATATATGAGATATGTGTGTGTATATTTAAAGATTGAGAAATTAAAAATATGAGAACTAGAAAGGGAAAGTATCTTAGAACATAGACTTTTTATTAGGATAATAAATCAACATATGAAGAGCCAAATCACAAAACAAACTGTTTTCTGACAAAATAAATTTTAAGATAACCATATTTAACTCCAGGTATGCCTTAAAAGAAAAAGAGAAGAAGAGAAGAAATGCCGATAAACTTGAAAAAATGAACAACCAGTTAAGAGAAAAGAAAGACGAATATGACAAAAAAATTGAATTAAACAAAGAACTTCAAATATCTTTTAGGACATTAAAACCAGAATTAAAGACTGCAAGAAATAATTTGAATCAGGTAGTCTTCAGTATAGCTTCAGATTTCTTACTGTATTTATATATGTTTAACTTAATATATATGGTCATGTTTCACTTAATGTTGGGGACATGACCTGAGAATGTGTTGTTGACAATCATCATTAGCATTTACTTACACAAACTTCATACATCTCCCACAAACTTCTGGGACTATTATTGAAATGTGTAGTCTGTTGTCTTACCCAGCAGTAACTGTGTAACACTATGTGACTCTATTATTTGGGTTTAATACAAAATGTCATCTCTCCCTAAAATGAAATTAAGACACTTATGGCTAAATTTATTTATTGCTTATCTTGGCATGCTCCCATTTTCTGAATGGAGTAAAGGTGAGTTGAGTTTAATCAATAGCATAAATATTTTTTTGATGTCTTTTATATCCTAATTTTATTTATTTTTTTATTGGTTGTTCAAAACATTACATAGCTCTTGACATATCATATTTCATACATTTGAATCAAGTGGGTTATGAACTCCCTTTTTTACCCCAAATACAGATTGCAGAATCACATCGGTTACACATCCACATTTTTACATACTGCCATATTAGTGACTGTTGTATTCTGCTACCTTTCCTATCCTCTACTATCCCCCCTCCCCTCCCCTCCCATCTTCTCTCTCTACCTCATCTACTGTAATTCATTTCCCTCCATGTTTGTTATCCCATTCCCCTCACAACCTCTTATATGTAATTTTGTATAACAATGAGGGTCTCCCTCCATTTCCATGCAATTTCCCTTTTTTTCTCCCTTTCCCTCCCACCTCATGTCTCTGTTTAATGTTAATCTTTTCTTCCTGCTCTTCCTTCCTGCTCTGTTCTTAGTTGCTCTCATTATATCAAAGAAGACATTTGGTATTTGTTTTTAGGGATTGGCTAGCTTCACTAAGCATAATCTGCTCTAGTGCCATCCATTTCCCTGCAAATTCTGTGATTTTGTCATTTTTTAGTGCTGTGTAATACTCCATGGTGTATAAATGCCACATTTTTTTTATCCATTCGTCTATTGAAGGGCATCTGGGTTGATTCCACAGTCTAGCAATTGTGAATTGTGCTGCTATGAACATCGATGTGGCAGTATCCCTGTAGTGTGCTCTTTTAAGGTCTTCAGGGAATATTTCGATTAATTTATGTATTTTTACGTTAAGATAATAAGATAAAGAGCTTTGAAAGTATTATGGGACTTGTTAAATGAGTTTTAAAAATTGTTTTTTATAATTCTGTTTCTGTATTTAAGAAAAGTTTTTGCTACTTGACGAATTTACCTTTCATTTCTGCAGTTAAAATTTTGAATAATTCATGTGGGATCAAAGTCCATATGTTTTAATAGACTACTAGATTTCTCTCTCTCTTTCTTTTTTTGCAGGTACTGCTCTTGATTATGCTTTTAGAATTTCTTCCCATTGCTAATACAAGACCAATACTTTACTGAAATGAATCTTTAGGTATTAGCTGAACAAAAGGACATCCAGAGGCAACTTAAGAATATAATGCCAGAATTTATAAGATGGGATTCTATCAAATCATCTTTGCAAACAAAAGTAGATAGACATGGCAAAAAGAAAAGATGTTTCTTGAATTATTTTCTGTTTTCAAATGTTTGTGTGTACATGTTGTGTGTGTATGTGAACATATATTAAATGGTAACTGGCTTTATAATGGAAAAACAGAGAATTTTAAAGCCAAATATGTATATCCTTGATGTACACATTTTGGGTGTTTTGGTCCCATTGGCCTAATTTACGTTCTTAATTCAAATCCATTTGTTGGCAGCAGTCCAGTAGTGATTTTCACTTTGGCCACAACTAGAGAAAAGGCTTTTGATATTTACCATAGGAATTGATGATTTTTCATGATCTCAAAACCCTTGTCACTAACAGTAGCTGTTCTAGTTTGGAGCAGGGATATCCCCCTCTTGGTATGCTAATGTAGAGGTCTGCTTATTACTCCCATCATTAAGCAGGAAAAGTATAGCCAGCAGAGCCCCTAGTTTGGATATCATTTACTCACATATGAGATGAGAAACAGTTTGCTCCAAGAAATATCCTATTTAAGCATAAAAAATTTTTGTAAACAATGATATGCCATAATATTTTACTTAGTGATGATTTATTGGTAAGTATGTCATTACAGTAAATGAGGTCAGTTTATTTCCCCTATTTCACATTTATTCACTTTTCAGCCTTTATAAAAAAGAAATAAATCTTACTGAGCAGAAAACAATCAGGATTTTCTAAGAGCCTAACAAATATGACCTTATTTACAATTAGTATTATGAAACACAAGCCTTCTTTTGTGTCTTTATTTTTACAGTAGAGAAATAACTGGTATGATGAAAAAGCACCTGAAGCAGCTTGCTTATATTTATATCATTCTGTTTTTCACATTTTGATAAAAAGTTCATTGGTATATATAAAACTGCTTAAGTACTGTCCCTAGATTTATCATTTATCAATAGCTGCAATTCTTATGATTACAAAAATGTGGAAAAAATAGAATATGTGTAGAATATTTTCAGGAAAAGGGAACTAAAAGAACTTTGGGGAATTTCATCTGTGCAAATATGTGTTGAGCTAAGACCCTTATTATGGGTTGGATGTATACGTGAGGTATCAGAGACCAAAGTTTTTTCAACATGGTAAAACATACTAATCACTTTATGAATTGAATCTGTTGTAATTCAGAGAAAGGCTTTTTCAACTCTGAAATGTCTTAAAATTATGATATTTTTGTACTCGTAGATTCATTATCTTCAATAAACATTTTGAAATTTTTTGCTTCTACAAGCTTTGAAGTTTACATCTGATTTTTCTCCAGTTGGATATCCATTTACTGCAACCCCTTTATTGTATAAATGTACAGGTTATTCTTTAGTTTCAGAGAAAATTGTGACATGTTATTTTATTAAATGCTAGCTAAATGTCTCCTTGTTTTTACTTTGAGGTTTCCACTAGGAATGAAACAGAGAAAGAGCTGTTGCATAAATACCACATATTGCAGGATAAAATTGCTATGATGTATCTGGAAACAGACAAAATAAAATGTCAGAATCAGGAAAATGAAAAGAAATATCTTCAGGTCATTGAAATTTTAAGAAAAAAGAATGATGATCTTCAAAGGACAATCAAATTGAATGATGAAACATTTACAAAAACAACATTCAAATATAAGACAAAGATTAGTATTCTGAAAACTGAGATTTCAAAGCAAAAGTTAAAACTGGAAAATAAAAAACAAAGCACAAAAAGACAAGAAACAAAAGTCAAACCATACCCTTTCAGATGTGCTGTTGCTCCACAACCTTGTGACGAAAGTCAGATGTCACAAAATGAACTAGAACTTTTTTCCCAGGGACCAAGAGATGAGTGCCTTGGTTTAAAGAACAAGGAGAATTTCTGTATTTCCAAATTAAATATTAGTAGTGAGATTCTTTCCCCAAAGGTTTCCAAGCCTGGAAAAAAAATCAGTAGCCAAGAAGCAGAGCTCTGTTTTCATATGATACATGATATTAGAAAAATGACTATGGTTTTGAAACAGGTACATAGAGACCTAAAAAAAACCCAGTGCCAAGTGAATAAAATAGAAGACATGTACCAAAATGAACAAAGTCAAAACTATAAATACATTGACGAGCAGGAATGTATAGATGAGAAATTTTCTCAAATGGAAAATGAAATCACATTTCTAAGACAGCAATTATGTCACCTTCACAACAAAGTTGATGATAAAGAAGACATAATTGTCTGTATCCAAGAGCAATGTAATAATATAAAAATAATTCAGGATCAGGCCGAAAAATCCAATCTCAAGCTTAAAAAAATAATTAAGTTAAGGAAGGAAAATCATCATTTAAAAGAAAAACTCTATCATTATAAAAAGGAGAAATCAAAAAGAGAAGTAAGTATTAAGATATATGGTTTGTCTTTGAAAGAGAATTCAGTGATTTAATTATAGCAAACCTGATTTCCAACCCAATGAAATGATTCATGTCTGAATAAGTCTGCTGATGGTTACACATTGTGTACATCTTTTGAAGTAATGCACCGTCTCTGATGAATATGTAAAATTATGTGCCAACGAAAATAAAAAAGAACGTTTAGCATTACTGATTTTAAAATTTAAAAAAGAAAAAAAATTAAACCTTGGACCTGACAGATGCTTTATTTTGAGTAAAGGCCTTGTGTCTTCACGAGGCATTTTGTCTTAAAGACTGAAGTTTCAAGAGGTTACAGATTTTTAGTAAATATATGGTATTAATAATGTAGTCTTAATATTGCTGAAACAATATCTGATTTTGGTGTTGGGGACTGAATCCAAGGCCTTTTGCAAGCTATGCATATGTTTTACCACTGTAGCCCTGAATAATAATTTTAATGTCTTCAAGTTGCAATACCTTAAGACCATAATGAAACATCAATGGAAATGCTCATACCTAGTTTCATTTAAGAGAGTTACTTTGATAATTCATTCCATATTTCTCAGCTGAACTGAAATGTCAATGCCATATTTTTAATAGATTTTGTTCACAAGTATTTTATGTATTTCTTATTGGTAATTTTATTTTATTCATGTAAATTTGCCTTCTGAAAATCATGTCCTCCTCAACACTATAAAAGCATCTACTTGTAATTAAATAATAATTTAGAACAAATGCAATAAATTACAGCAACACCAATGTTGATTTAATTTTCCTGTTGTATCTGGAATTTATTGCATATCTTCACAGATAATTACTAATACTTTTTCATTTCAAGACTCAATTACTGTCATGTAAAGGATATAAACTATTCCAGTACAAAGACAATTGTAGCTCTTAGGTTCATAAATTTGACATTGAATCCTCATTTTCAACAAATGTAGGTGCTGGATTTTTGTACAGTGAGAATGGGTGAGGAGGGAAGAGAATTGTAGGAGTTGAAGAGAGGGAGGAGGTGGAGGCCAGGTTGCCTAGGGCCTCACTTTTTTATGAAATAGGAATCTATTGGAAGGATTTGAGCAGAGGATTTAATATGTTTAGAACTCTGTTTTTAAGTGGAGCTTCTGTTAAAATAATTTTGACTTCTCTGTAGAATTCACTACTACTAGTCAGACCTGTATGACCATTTCTGTTTGGGAATTCAGAAGGTTCTAAAACATTGCAATTTCATCAAATGAGAAGTGGATAGAGGGCTGAATCTATTGTCCAATGAATACGATAGTGATTATGCAGGAAGAAAGCACCTTCTGTGTCCTTACTGGAATTCAGAAAGAAGCAGAAAATTTTATATATATGATAAATTGATAATATTTCTCAGCATCAATTTCAGTTTTAAGTATTATTAACATAAAGTGAACTGATTTACAAAATCTTTAACAGACATATCTCTTTAGGTAGTTGCGATACAACTTCAACAAGAACTGGCCAATAACCTGAAAGAACAACCTATGTCAGAGGCTTCACTAGAACATTCAAGTTGTCACCTTAATTTAGATGAGGAACAGGATTTGGAGAAGAAACTAAATCAAATCACATGTAAAGTATGTATTAAATTGTACTTGTCAATAGTCAATCTGTACCTGCTAAAATAATTTAAAATATTTTAGAATACTAATTTCTGTGGACAACTTTCTTTGGATTTTTATTATAATTGTTTTTATTATGATTTAATTATCTTCACAGAGACTTGTTCATAAATTCTGAATTGGATTCTTATGATTTTTTCTTATGAAATCATAAATCTTAAAATAGCGACCCTTAGGGCCAGACATGGAGGTGCATGCTTGTAATCCCAGCTACTTGGGAAACTGAGGCAGAAGGGTCACAAGTTCAAGGCCAGTCAAGCCACTTAGTGAGGCCCTAAGCAATTTAGCAAGTCCTTGTCTCAAAATAAAGTTTAAAGTAAAGTAAAATGAAATAAAATATAAAATAAAACTGGGGATATCGCTCAGTGGTTAAGCACTCCTGGGTTCAATCCATAGGGTGGTAAATTGCCCAGCTATCTTCAGAAAAGCTGAGAATTGTACATCAATCCTCATACATGTTGAGAAACTTTTTTTCTGTTAATCATAATTTTTTAGTGCTACCAAGTTGAGAAACTTTTTGTTGTTGTTGTTAATCAGAATTTTTTAGTGCTACCTCTATTGCCATCAAGGCAGATTAAATCAAAGAATACCATTCCATGGAATGTTCCAGGTAATTGAATTATTTCATACTTTTTTTTTGTGATTGGATACAGAATCTATGTGTAATTGTTAAATGGATTTCCAGATAACTTGTGCAGAAAGTATCATATTTTCCTCAAAATTCAGGTTCATTTTTAAATCATTGGACAAGCTAGGCTTTTCCATTTAAATATCTTATAAAAGCATACAAATATTTAGATCATGTGTGGTACGTCTTTCCAAAGCAGAGAGAGAATTTTTCTAGGTTTTCCCAGTGGATCTTTGAAAAGGCAACCTTATTTGGATGTATTGCACAGATATACATTTCACTAATTTCCTAAGTCTTAGGATAACTACCAACCTACTTTTTTATCTCCATAATTTGTCTGTCATTGACATTTCACACAAGGAGATTTATACACTGTTTAGTCCTTTCTGACCAGATTCTTTCACTAGGATACTGTTTTCATGGGTCATCTGTGTTGTTTTAAGCATCATTTCTTTCTGTTGCCCAGTAATGGTTCTTTTATAGGCCATACCACTTATCCACTCATCAGTTGATGAGCTCTAGGATGCCTCAATTCTTTGGATCTCAGTACTAATGTACTTACACATTTATAAGTTATTGTGTGGACATATCTTTATTCCCCTGCCATTGGACTTTGTCCATTGCACTAATGCTGATTTTACCATCTCTCTACCTTACTTCTCTTGTCTTTTCTGTTTTCATTCATTTGACCCCATTTATTCCCACCTCTTATAAAACTATTTTTTCCTTTCTTCATATTTCTCCATCTTTTCTGACTCTCACTGACCTTATTCTTTTTAGAACTAATAGTCCTTAATTCCTCGGTATACTTTTTCTTTTTTCTTTTTATTTTTTGGCATGCTATATTATCTGTCAAAGTATAAATTCACCTAAGATGAGAATAACATCTGATATTCATGGCACCTATTCTTGAATAAATAGAAAATAATTTTGCTTAACAGTTGTTTTGGTAAAATTGGGCATTTTATATTATACTGATATTTTTTTCTTTTGAGATACTGACCTATTGAGAATTTTATTCTAACTTTATTTAAGCAATTAAATATAAAATTGAATACACTCAATCCAATAGAGAATTGCTTCATTGAATATTCATAATTTTCACTGTGAAAAAGAATCTAGATTTGCCCATCCTTCATTAAATAGCCAGAATAGGAATTTATAGACCAACTGAAAAGTATGGATTCACCTTTTCTAATATAGCATACCATATTACCTTAATCTACTCATCAGAATGCTACTATAGATTATATTTATTGCAATTAAATTTAGGCTAAATTTGTGAATGGGCTTTGTGCTCAGACATTCTAAATGTACTTCTTTTATTATGAAACTCTATTGTTTTATTCATACAGGCAGATAATATCATTGCAAACCTAGAAGATACATCCTCAAAATATTTACAGCTGGATACAAAATTTGAATTTTCTTTGAAAAGCCTGCAAAATATATGTGAAAAATCAGAGAACAATCAAAAAAAGTTGGAAGAAGATGTAGCAAACCTCAAAAGAAATATGCAAAACAACATAATAGAACATGGTCAAGGAGTGCAGCATAAATGGGAGACTGAAATAACAAGACAGCAGTTACAGCAAAACCAAAACCAAACATCTCTAGTTTTAGAGGTGACTTTATCTGTAATTTGCTTTAATTCATTTTACCGAAAATTTTATTTTGGATATTTTCATTTTAAGTGTGTCCTTTATATTCCTAGAGGAAATTAAAAAATGTGAAGTCAATTTATAACATTCTCTTGAATTGTTAAATGATTTTTTTTCAATTTTGAATTGATTCTACCATTTTTTGAATTTCTAGAAAATGAGTACTAACATGAGGGGATTCATGGCTGAGATGGTAGTTTAGTGGTAGATAGCTTGTATAGCCTGTGTGAGGCCCTGAGTTCCAACCCCAATAGAAAGAAAAAAAGCAATTAATTTGACTTAATATACAATAATTATTTAGGTTATAATTTTAAAAAAAATGTGTCCTTTTAATTTTCTTTAGACATGTGCAGCAGTTTCAGAAATCTTAGGGCAGTTAAGAGAGAATAATGATGCTTCAGTAATAAATTGGATGCAACTCAGAATTAACAAGCTGGAATCTGAAGTGTCTAAAATTAAAACTGAAAATTCTAATGAAATGCAAATGGAAGAAAATAATCAGCTCCATGTAGAAGAATACAAAATCCAGAAGTATGTCAAAATGTATACTAATAGAAAATACTTAATCTCCTTAATTTGTCTCCAGTGCATAACTTTTAGTGAGATGGGTTCATAAGATTAGTAGGATGCAAAAGCTAATCAGACAATATAATTTTAGGAAGTAATGTTAATAAATGAACTTACTTTTAGAATATTTGTCCAGGAAGTTTATATTTCTCCTCTTTTTTTTTCATACATATGGCTTTCTTTCCTTTCTATTTTCTTAAATTGGTCTACTAGACTGTCAGCTATGTACTTTTGAAGTTTTATAATTTAGTTATATTGTGACCAAATTACTTATAGAAATTTTTTACATAGAAAAAATAACAAATTTAAATATTTTTGAAGAGTATAACTTAAACCCTAACTGTATAGTATTGCTAGTACACCCCCTTCAGCACAGTCTGATACTTGGTAAATTAACCATGCTTGATGGTGATATTTGATATTACCCCTAGATGGTGCCTAGAGACAAACTGTGCTTTTCAGTTTTGCCTCTCTAGGTAACGCCTACTTGTGATATAGGGAAAGATTATCATAGGGCTGAAAGGAAGTAAACTTTGCAATGTTGTTAAATAATTCCATTGTCAGTGTTGGGGGGAATAAAACAGAATTGGCAGGTCCCATCTCTGATGCCTTGGTAACACAATTCTGAGCTAATTTTCTTGGGAGCTGCTTTAATTCTTCTTAATTACCAACTCAGCTATCTTGTTCTGCTCCAGTGGTTGTTGCTCTGAATTATTTCTCAGTGCCAAATGCTTGCTTTCTCCTGGTGATGGTTAGAATGTATAGATGGTGAGAGGAAATACTTGAAAATATCTTCAATGGTTGTTTTTAAATTCTCAACTGCTTTAATAATACAAGTATGTCTAGCTTAGCTTTACTCTTATATACTAGTTGTATATTTTTAAGAATATACTTTAGTGTATACTGAAAAATGACAACTGGGTATGCATTAATATACTTTAGCATAGCAAAATGTCTTTGTAGGTAGATAAAGTAAGGTACCCATCTTCTCACATAGCTATTGTTTAGATACCAGTATTTTTAATAGTATTCTCAAGAATCCCACAGAGTCTTTCAATAAGGCAGCAGTGTTACCCTTAAATCATACATCTCTACCTGCCATTACTCTCTCACCTATATTGTTTGAATTTCTTGTTAGGAGTCCCCTAGAAATATGTATACATCCTTGGAACATTTTAAAACCTGTAATCGTGTGCCCTACATTGTTTTGAAGGATTTTCAATTTTAAGACTCTTTTAGCTGAGAATTTCTATTTATTCTTATGGCATTTTAAAAAAAAATACAAGTGATTTGGAGAAAAATGAAATACCAAGTATTTGCCTTTTGCAGTTCTCACAGAATCAATAAGAACCTTCAGGAGGTTAACAGCAGATTCCCAGTGGCAAAACAGAGCAAATCTTTACCTTGCCCTCACTGTGGGAGGCCTGTCCCAGGCTGTCCCTGTGTTAAACTGAAAAATGACTGGTTACACAACAGAAGTTTTAGCCAAGGAGAAAACATGGCAGGTCCTTCTTCCAACCCACAGCCTTCATGTCAAAGCCTTGAGGACTATCTGGCTGAGGTGAGTTATGCTTATGTTTTATCTTTTGGATTTCAGATTTCTTATTGTCTTGTTTTGACTTTGTTGAAATACTGACTTGTTTAATTAATTGACTTATGAATATTAAGTAAGGGTTACAATAATTTATACTCATAAATTTTATAATTTTATAAAGTCTCTGGAGATCTTATTTTCAACAGATACTTATTAACTTTATTCAACTGATCTGACATTTTTAACTTTCCTTAAATTCTGAATTTATGTGGCTCAAGCGGTAGCGCGCTTGGCTAGCATGCGTGCGGCCCGGGTTCGATCCTCAGCAGCACCACATACCAACAAAGATGTTGTGTCCGCCGAGAACTAAGAAAAAATAAATAAATGTTAAAATTCAAAAATAAATAAATAAATAAATAAAACACTTTCACCTCCAAAATAAACTAAAAAAAAGAAAAAAGAAAAAAGAAAAAAAGATAATGATGAATGCATGTGTAAACAAAGATACAAAATTATTTTAATGAATTAAACATTTTAAATGAATAAACATTAGTTTAGAGCTTTGATAGAATTTTTATGATCTTCCTAATCCACAAAAAAATATTGCAGGCCTGTCTTGAATGAGGCCTCAATTTTATGTTTTCTTTTGATTTTGTATCTGAACAAAATCAAGAGAAGAACAAATCTAAGCTTTATAAAATAGCAATACAGTCAAATGTGATGAAAAAGGGAACAAATTAAATAACTCTTAATACATAATTATAAGATCTTAGCGAGCTGATATTTTTCTTCCATCAGTTTGTTAGCTTTTATCCATATTTTTCTGAAAAAAAAATGAGAGTCTCAGGGTTGAAGTGCCCGTGAGCCATGAAATTGGATGACTGTGCACTAAAAAAGGAAAGTGAAATATTTATGTAAGTTGTTAAATACAATGCACAAAGACAAAATGTTCTCTTTTGTTTTTACCAGAAAAAAATCAGACAGTATATCATTTAATAAGATAATGATGATTGACCCAGCAGCTCAGGAAGCTGAGGTAGGAGGATCAAAGCCAGCCTCAGCAAAAGCAAA